CTTTTTATTAGAAATATTATAATTGAAGCAAAATGTCTGCAGCAAATATGGTATCATATCATAGCTGTGACCAGGATTTGAAAAAAGTACTCTACACATACTAGCGTAGGGACTGAAGGCTCAATTCAATAGCCATTGAAGTTAATGGGTGTTTCCCCATTGATTTCTAGGAGCATTGGATCAGTCTTTGGGCTTTCAGCCAAGCTGAATAAAATTTTGTGCTTCTGTGATCCCAGCACCCTGCAATTTAAACAAACAAAACTGTATTTAGTTGTAATGTATTATCAACTTTCTATTTAATATATTTTTAATGTGCAAATTACAAGGATGACTTGAACAACAAAACAATTATTCACTGAATGTATTTGGTGACTGTTACTAGTTTTCATTTAATGTTTTCAGGAAAGAGTCCAGAAATGAAAGTCACTTACATTTCTTGTAGGTACTGTTGTATTGCACCCTCTCGGAGGGCAGAGGGTGGGTGGGGGAGACTCAGGGCAGTGGGTTGGAGGGTTGTGATTGGGCAGTACCTGTAAGAAATTAAGTATGGGGTGAGGTGTGGGGGGCTCAGGTCAGTGGATTATGGTGAGTGTGTGTTTGGGGGGGTCAGAGCAGGGGGTAGGGATGTGGGGGGTGCAAGAGTCAGGACAGAGGTGTAGAGGAGTAGGGCAGGGGGGATGTTGGAGTCAAGGTTGTGGGTGTGAGAAAGGGCTCAGGGAAGGGGATTGGGGATATATATGTAGGGGAGAATTCAGGGAGCAAGGGTGCTATTTAGTGAGGGCTGGGAGCTGAAGGCCCCTTCCCCCCACAAGATTCGTACCTGGACTCTGCTTGTTGTTTCCTTTCATCACTTTTCCCATACATCGCTGTCCCTGAAAATCCTGTTAGGGTAAGACAGGATACTAGAAGACAAGCTGGTGCACTTTGATGCATCTCTAAGGTAGATTATATATGGGTGCCCATCATCTGCTAATGAACACACACTGGGACAACTAAATACACTTTTCCAAGCCACAGATCTATTCCTCCTGGGGATATGAGGCATAAAGCTGAGACTTACATCTAGGATTCTCCTGAAGATGCAGCTTGTGACTGACAACTTGTGCAAGAACAAAAGGTTCTCTGCTACATCCCTTGTTCCCACAGTCGGTCACTACTGCAGTAGCGAGCCAGCTTTAGCCCCATGTAGTTCATGCTGTAGCATCAAAACAGAATGGAGAAAAGCTGAGGTGCTGTGCTATAACATTTCCAGGCCTTGGGTTTGGGGTTGGTTTTTGTTTGTTTGTTTGTTTGAGTTTGTTTAAATGCTTCTTGACTCTATTTAATTTGTATAAGAACCTTGAAGATCAAAAGCCCTGTATAATACATAAGGATTATTTAACAGCTATTTTTGTTTCATTTTCTGTCTTTTCAAAGATTTGATTTTGAGTACATCTCACGCTGACAGCAATTTGATATAGTAATGAGTTGCCTTGACATTGTTTACCACCATAATTTGCTATAATAAGTAGCCTCAGAAGACCTGAATTGACAAATTCTCTATGTTTTTGGCATTGTAATGCAGTATCAGACAAGTGCTTTAAGAATATTTCATGAAGGCGGTTAAGTCCTTGGAGGGAAAAAAAAGAAAAGAAAAGAAAAGCGGAGGCTGTGCAGTTGTAAAATGTTTTCCTAAACTTTAAAACATTCATAATTGTCAAAAAGACAGTTCATACAAAAAGTTAACAATTGATATTTCAGTTATTTTAAAAAAATCTATAGTTATTTTTTAAAACACACACACATAGTTTGAAACTCAATTCAAAATAATTTTCCAAAGAAAAATGTACATTCTAGCTGAAGATTCTGTGCCAAGTTTCTGCTTAAGACCATACAAATAAGTCAGATAAAATGATAAACTCTTGATTATGTTTAACAGTCTCAGTTACAGTCTTCTGCATGAATGAGTAGATAAATTACATTTTTCTCATTTGTAAATTGTTTAGTCAATGACATTCTAAATTTCGTATATGTTGTAACAGAACATAACAGGAACCCTCTTGGCCCTGCCTCTGCTGTGCTCCAAAAACAACTCTGAAACCTTCTGGCTCAGTAGTCACTAGTGCAATTTATTTACATAGTGCCACCCCATAACCTTCTTACTGAATGTAGCTGGGAGTTTCAGCCTTGAGGGGTCCATAGCCTTTGGACCCAAAGGGCAGTATTATCACACTTCTTTTCTGGCTTCCCCCTTCAGTTCCTCCCTTTGAGAGTGTCTATAACCCCAAGCTAATCAGACTGACAATTGGCTGAGAAGAAACAATCAGCCACAAGTTTCCCCAGCCAGCTCCAATTTACCCTCTTTAACAGGAATTGGAGTGACAGAGGGCTGCCACCTTGTTGCACCTCCCTCTCCGCTTAACAAACTGCCAGCTTCATCCTTGCCCACCTCATCTTCCCTCTTTTATTGGAGGGGCCAGCATGGGGGACTTCTCCTTCTGCCTTCCGGTGACCCTTGTGGTCTTCCTTGTAGGGCTCCTGCATCCCCCACTCAGAGAAGTTACATTGCATGGAGGATGATGCTCCCATAGGTCCACTGCTGCCCAAAAGTCCTCACACCCTTTGCACCCCCACATGGGTCCTCCCTCTTTTTCTACATTCTCTTCTGGCAGGGGCTGGGGATTGGCCCCTACTTCCACATGGATACCCTGGGCCTCAAGTTCATCAAACCCACTTAGCAGGGCCTGAAACTCTTCTCCTGGGGGTCACTTTGTAGAGAGCTCCTTTGGGCCTTTTTCCTCCCTTAAAGGCCTTGGGTGTCCAGGAAGAAGTAGAGACCAACTGCCCCATCCCACCTCCTTCCTTTTCTTCATTACTCAGGCTCTGATGCCTAGGGGTCTTAACTTATAGGAGATGAGTTCCCCTCTTTACTGGAGCTTTGATATTTAGGGATTTCCAACCCCTCTCTTCAGGGGGCCTCCTCTTTTTCCCATTGTGGGCTTCTTCCTATTGCCTCCTTTCCATCTTGGGAAGTATATGGTCCCAATCTGTGCCACTAGGAAAGGCAACCCCTTCGATACCCTGACCCACTTGCACTAAAACATGCCCCAGTCTTCAAAGGGCACCTGGGCCATCAGGTACTGTTTCTTGTCCCTCTAAACACATTTAATGCTCATTTTTGTGCTGGGAATCATTCAGTGTGGTTTTATCACTCCCTTTTAGATAAAGCAGCAGTCTGAGGCTGTATTCACCGGACCTCTCTAGGGTGTCCTCACCACCGTCACAGGTATGGTAGACAATTTTTGCCCATTTTCTGCCCTTCCCCCCAGCATTAGTCCAGCCACAAAATTCATCCAATCTATACTTCATGTATGGGAAGTCCTCCCTTTTGGGTCCTGGTTGCCTGCACTGCCAGCAAACAATTCGTCAGGCCCGCAGAAGTCCTTCAGGCCTCTTCCCTTTTCCTCTCTGGGCCTTTTCTAGGTGGGGGTTTCCTGGCCTTTTCTTCTGCCTCCAACTCACTATATGGCCATCCCTCTTTCCTTGGGAACTTGCCCTCCTGCCACTGTTTCCTCTAATTTTTCCTAACCCTGAGTGGAATGAATTTTATGTACATTATTATGGAGGTGATGTGTGATACATTATATAATAACAAAATTCATATGATGGGGATAGGGCTAAGGGGTTCTAAGTGTGGGAGAGGGCTCAGGCTTGGGGCAGAGAGCTGGAGTGCCGGGTCTGGGGTGGGGCTGAGGATGAGGGGCTCAGGGCTGGATCAGAGGGTGGGGTGCAAGTGTTTTAGGAGCCCAGATGGGGGTACAAGCTCTGGAGTGGGATTGGAGATGAGAGCTTGGGGTGCAGGGGTGTGAGGACTCTAGCTGAGGGTACAGGCTAGAGGGTGGGACTGGGGTTGAAGGGTTTATGATGAAGGAGGGTACTCTGGGACTACTGTGAGGAGAGAGGCTGGGCCATCCCAACCATGGCTGCGTTTGGGGCCAGCGGACAAGCCCACACATGTAAAAGGGTGTAGCAGGGCCTCCCTTGGCCCTGATTCTACTCCAAAAACCAGTCTGAGACCTTCTGACTCAGCAGTCACCAGTCCTTTTTTCCCCCACATAGTACCATCCCACCATCTCTTCCCCAGGTATGGCTTGGGGGTTCCAGCCTGGAGGATTTCATTGACTCTGAAGTCAGGAGGTCAGATCTACCACACTCATTTCCTGATTTACTCCATTCACTTCCTCCCTCTGGAGATGTCTGCTGTCCAGGTTAATAAGGTTGGGAGCTGTTTCTCCTTTGCCCCCAGTCAGCTCCAATTACCTCCTTTAGTTGGAGCTAGAGTGACAGAGGGGTGGTCTGCTATTTCCATTGAGCACCCTGTCACAGTTATAACCCTTTTCTGTATTTGGGGAGTTTGTATATTGAAAATTTAATGTTGATTAAGTGCTGCTATTAAATCCTGTTGTTGTTTTAACAAATACAAAAAAGAAACCCACATGACAATTTAGCTAGCAGTCTTCAACTCAGCAATCTTTAGTTAAAAATCATGATTTTTTTTTCTTTCTTGGTACTTATAAAAAGCAGGAGGTGGGAGTTGGAGGTGAATACATCGTAAATGGAAATTCAGTAGCTGACCAACTAAAAACCAAATGCTACTTATTTATACTGTCTATTCACCCTGCACGTACAGGAAAGTTTCAGCAGCAACTTAAGCGCTGGAACTTTAGGGTGGCCAAGCTTTTGACCAGAAGGCCGAGTCAAAAAGGGATCAGCACTTAAAGTCTGGTTGGTTGCAGAGTGCAGGCTCCCTCCCTGTCCTGGCTCTGTATTGTTCCCTGGACTTAGCTGTCATGTTCCTGCATCTCCTCAGCACATGGGCAAGGAGGAGGTGGGGGACTCTGTGCACTGTCCCCCTGAGCACCCACTCCACAACTCCTATTGGCCAGGAAACAATGGGAGCTGCAGGAGCAGTGCCTGTGGGTGCAGGTAGCAAAGGTGAGCCTCCTTGGTCCCCTGCCTAGGAGCCACAGGACCTGCCGGCCTTTTTCACCTAGGTGTGAATAAGAATTTCTACCAGTATGGATTTGCCAAATATTAACAGGGCATAGCTGATTTTTTATCCGTATGTAACTGTACTACAACAGAGATAGGCCAGAAGAGGGCTGTATTTCTCCTTGTATTCCTCCAAACTTTCATTATGCTCAATCCTCACAAGATTTTCAGGTTTCTGTTTTTAGCTGCAGTCTTAATTCCCACCTCCACTCACCACTTGTGAGTCATTTGCTGGCTTGTCCTTCTCCACAGACTCTGAGCTGTAATCTACTACCAGCCATAGTAGCTTTCTTCCAACGATAGAATGCATCCCTTCTGCTTCTGAGCACAATTTGTAACTCATTAGTTGCCTGCTCTTCCTGATTATGTTGAAGTGTCTTTCCTGAAATCTAGACTGAATTTGGCCTAAGTTGTTTGTGGCTATATGCTATACACGTATCTTTAGAATGAACAAAACAAAGTCCACTGAGATAAAAAACTGCATTAGAATATTGTTAATTGTCTGACTTAAATTGATAAAGCTATACAAAAAAATCAGTGTTAAATCTATAGATAGGTTAGAGGTAATTCTTCATCGGAGACTACCTGTATCTTGCTGGCTAGTGGGTGCTATTTTATACATTGAGCATGATTTGGTAAAAAAATATGCTTTTAAAGTGTTGCATTTGATGTAAGTCAGATACATTTTTGCTCAATCAGGCCCCAAATGGTCTGAGAACTTCAGATACAGCAGAGATAAAAGCTGAAAACATTTTTATGTCAGAGTTTCATACTTCTTGAATGTTCTGTCTTCCATTAATTCAGTATAGCTCCATGTATGAATCAGTTTAGTAGGCTTAACAAGTGAGACTTCTGTATTATCTTCATCAGTATCTATGATTAGTAAAACCACACATTCAATAGGCATTTGTGTTCGATGCATATGAATAAATCTCTATGGTCACAACTTCAAAAACGACCTAAAAAATTGCATTTTCATTTGTCTAGGTATAATAATTTGCAGCCACAAAGTATATAGTATTTGTGCATGCAAATGAGATTTGCCAGATTTGCCTGCACACATTTTATCTCTTGGGTTTCAAATGATTGTGTGTATGTTTTGAGTATGAGTTTAGGAACCAGAACAAGGCTCATTTGCAAATTTGATCTTTAAAGTCACATTAACCACAGTAAAGTTCATTGGTTCATTCAAATGTGCAATAAATAAATAGATTATTCTACTTAGCTACACCCGGTGACCTGTTTTAATCAACCCCCCTTCCTCATAGCATGATAGTTTGCACTTACTGGGTATAGCACTTTCCATCCAAGAGTCTCACATACTTAACTAGTATAGCTAACAGTTTCATCCTTTGAACACCCCGCTCCATCTGCGAATTAGACAAATGCTGTTAATCTCCTTTTACAGATGAGGAATCTACAGGACAGAGAGTTGAAACAACTTGCCTGAAGTCATTCATGACTGCCTTGTTATGGCAGTCTTCACATATGTCTTCACATATCAATAGGGAATAGCTGTTTCTCTTACTAGTGGAGGATACAATAAAAAAATTCTAATTCAGTGGATTGTAACATATTCTGTATTTGTTTTGTCTGATTTTTAGATTGATTATAGCATAAGAAGATGCCAATCTTTAAAGTGCCAGTGATACACAGATTTGGAATATTATCTAATAGACAACATAAAGAACTCCAAAAGGAATTTTTGAGAAAATATTTTCCAAGTCATTCATACGAAATCCGCCATGACAAGCCTCTGTAAGTGCAATTTAAATAGAAACCCTAACATCACTTTATTATGTATAGTAGAACAGTGTGTGGTCAAAGGCTAAGTTTCCAATTCCATGGATCATTAACTTCCTGTGCAGAGTTCTTGAGTTGACTAACACCTTCTTATCTATAAAGCCATTCAGCTCTGGAAGTGCATAGGACTTGAAAACAAATAGTTTATTCCCACTAAGAGCAGCAAACTAATGGCATCTGTCAGGTACACCAGAGGCATTTCATGGAAAGCTGCTCCCATCATCCCTTTCGCCTCAACCAAATGCTTGGGGAATATGGATGTTTGATTTCAAAACCTAAAATTGGCTTATTACAGATGACATTGGTCCAACATTTGGAAATAAGTTAGGCATATAACTGGTGTTTAACTCAGTTAACATGTTGTAGTTTGACTGTTACATTGGGGAAGCACAATACTTGTGCACATGCATGTACACATGGGTTCACTCAAGCCAGTTCCATTGGCTCTCTCTTCCTGCCTGGAGTGGTACTTGGGCTGCTGGTTCTGGGGAGGGGAGTGGGCCGGTTTAACTGAGAAGCCCCAGCTGCTGCTGACAGCCATTCTGGCATTGGATGCTGCAGCAATGTCACTGCTCTGTTGCTACTGTAGCTGCTTCCCTTTTGGGGATGCTGCTGCTGCCGCCAAGGAAATTCCATGATCTAAGATCTTGCTTCCCCCTCCCCCCCTCCATTCTTAT